ACTCTTTGTTTTTATTTGATGAGACCATGAGAAAGATGATTATTCTTTTACCAACTTATACTGACTTTTTCCCATTTAAACTCAAAATGTATGTCCCAAAAGGAGCCAGACTTTAGAGGTAGAGACTAAAGAGGAATTCTACTACCTGACTGTGTAATAAAAAGATCTTAGATTCCTAGATATTAAAATGTGCTTAATTCTTCACTGTGTGAATTGTTTGCCTTTGGTCTTTTCAAATGTTTCACAGATTATGTGGTATTTTTATAAACTCTGCAGTACTTTTCCACAGCCTCCACACTCTTCCTTTTTTTTCAAACTAATAAGATGGTTTTATTTAAATAGTGCTCTTTGAGAAATCTTGACCACTTTTCAGATATTAAACATCAAAGAATAGCTGTAAGCATTTAATAATTAGGCTTTGATTGCTATGAATGAAGAAATGGACTTGCACGCAGCTTCTATAATACCTTGTTTGTTAAAAATAGATGACTATGACAGAAAGAAGTTAGACCAAGGAAAGTTTACTTAAACTTAATTATAAACATCTAAGCTAGAGACTACTAATCCCTAAACTACTATTATATTTTGAGGGTGGCAATCAAATGTTTTATAGGTTATATATATATATATATATATTGTGTGTGTGTGTGTGTATCTGAATAAACATATACACATACACATCTTTATATCGATATATAGACACACATACTGCAGATACATTCTTTTTCAGATGTGAAAAATTACAAGTTATCATCATACTATTTGGAAATAGTGTTTACTCAACTCTAAGATCCCATCAATTATGAGACTATGAACTTACTAGCAGCCTTTCTGAGAGAGAGAAAAGACATTTAATAATTTCATGGACTTAAAATGGAAGGGGGTAGGGGCTGAATTTTAGAATTTCAGAAAATTTGATATATCTGCTGTAACACCTTTTAATTATAAAGAACACAGATCTAATGTCCAACTTCTATTACTAGAATTTAAGAAAAAGACAGATATTTTCTCCCCTTCAACTAAGTTGCCATTTTTAAACAGTGCTTTGATTATAAAATTTTACTTACCTGAAACAAAGTAAAAATAAAGTCATTATCGAACAAAAATAGGTTAGCAATTTTCCCTAAGATTGATACTGCCAAAACAACAACAACAATAAAACTTTAGAATAATGATGAGTGATGTTTTTAAAACAGGTTCTTTTTGTTTGACGAACAGCTGCGTTTAAACTTCACCCAGACCCTAAAAGCTTCATTCACTTGATACTCACTGTCACATACACATTTTGTGCTAGGCATAATGCTCGATTCAAATATAACTTAGATCTTAGTCATTCCATATTAAAAAATTAGAGTTTAATATAAGAAAATTGAAGGAAAATTTGGACTTTTGTGTTGTTTTCTCTTACTATATTGATTCAATAGTAGCAATGCATAATTTTCCCACAAACTTCATCCTTACATGTAGAGAAAATGTTGATAAAATATTCTTGCAATAAAGTGCATTTTGCAAATATGTACTTTATTTTCACTGTTTATTCAATTTTCTTAATACCATATAAGTTCTTATAGGAGAGCTTCAGATTTTCCATACAAAATGTTTAATCCAAAATTATGCTAGATAGAGTAAAACCCTTGCTAAGCTTCTTAGAAAAAAAAAAGATGCTTGTAATAATTTGGTATTTAAATCATAACAAAGTTTTTTGCCTCATTGCACTCCTGAAAGCAAGATGGGTCACCAGCAGCCCTACTGGAGCCACCCACAAAAGGTGGGCCAAGATTCTTACTCTTGTCGCATCTTCCCGAACCAGCATGGTCTGATCCGGAAACATAGCCTCAATATGTGCTGACAGTGTTTCCGTCAGTACACGAAGGATATAGGTTTCATCGAGTTGGACTAAGTGATCTTCCTTGAATGGATTATCCAAGGCATCCACCCAGTGAAAGAAACTATGTTAGTTCTTCATACATAAAATAAACGTTTTTTTAAAACAAACAAAATAAGTCGTACCAAAAACACCACCTTAGTATATTATTAGCATAACAGGAAGAACCTGAAATTTATGTATGTCACGTGTACTTTTTTTTTTTTTTCTCTTTTGCTGTGATATCACCTGGGAAAATCCAGAAGATTGGATAACCAAGAAATGACTAATCAAGAGTCTGCTGTACATGTGAAAATGGTGGGTATTTGCCTATTTTCAGTTCCATTTATTAATGGTAAATCTTCACCACTTTTACCTTTGTCTCTAACCAGATAATTATGGGACTGAAATTTTATACAACTCTTTCTTTGCAGTGCATCACAAAATAAACATCAAATACTTACTGAATTGAATTTCAAATTATCTTTAAAATGTTTTCACTTGAAATCTAATGCACATTATTGTGCTTTTCAGAATATAAAATGCCTCCCCTATTCCGTTTTATGCAAAATTTTCTTTGCTTGGTGATAACACACTTAAATCATACAGTATGAAATACATTATTATAGGCTTCCAAATTTAAATGACAAGCATTCAGAAAAAATTTTAAATACTTCTTGCATGACAGTAGAGTTGCATTATATACACTAGGATGAGTTAGGAAAGGTACAGGCTTTGGAGTCAGAACTGGCTTCACATCTTAACTCATTCCTTATTAGCTGCCATAGTCCTGAATGAGAGCAATAGAAATGGGTGTGAAACCACCAACTGTATGTTATTATTCATACTTAATGAAAAGGTTTATAAAGTTCCTAATAACCACAGATTAAGCACTCATTAAATATTAGTCTATAATGTTAGTGTTTTAACCGTGTAACTGGCATATTTATTTGTATGTGTGGAAAGAAATTGCATCTGTTCTCCATATTCACAGTGATAAAAATCTTTAAAACAACACTTTTAAAAAATCCTTTCTTTTAAAGAGAACAACTGCCCCATGATATCTTGTTTTCTCTTTGTGTCCTTTTTGTTGTTTTGCCTCTTCTGTTCCATTTCTTTTTTCAGCTTTCTCTTTCTCTCCAGCTTTTTTCTGGCCTATAAATTAGAGCATGACTCAGCAACCAAACTGCATTTTGTCACGCTTAATAAATCTCTTGTTCAGCTTTCCCTCAACCAGTATAGAATCAAAGGTGAAAATTGACTCAAAATGGTGATTAAGTCATCATCAGTTTAGTTACTGTTACTAGGTTGACGCATATGAAATTGTTTTTATAGGCCGGGCGCGGTGGCTCAAGCCTGTAATCCCAGCACTTTGGGAGGCTGAGGCGGGTGGATCACGAGGTCAAGAGATCAAGACCATCCTGGTCAACATGGTGAAACCCCGTCTCTACTAAAACTACAAAAAATTAGCTGGGCATGGTGGCGCGTGCCTGTAGTCCCAGCTACTCAGGAGGCTGAGACAGGAGAATTGCCTGAACCCAGGAGGCGGAGGTTGCGGTGAGCCGAGATCGCGCCATTGCACTCCAGCCTGGGTAACGAGCGAAACTCCGCCTCAAAAAAAAAAAAAGAAATTGTTTTTATATGTCAAATATAGTCCAATATTCCCAGTTTTATATGGTTCAACCTAATAACATAGCTCTGTGCATCCATTGAATGATATGGCATTTGATTCATTGGAATTGAGCATATCTCTCCAATACATAGAATCAAACCACCCTAAAACTAATTTTCTTGTTTGAGTTGACTTTTTTTTTAAACTTATGTGAATACAAGCAGTATAGGAATTTGCTGACATATAAACAGTTTTAATGACACCTTTGTATAATGTTGTTACTTTGGTCCTAGAGCCCCTATAGAAGGTATCTGCAGAGGGAAGTAGCAGTGTATTCACCCCACAATTGCTCAGACTGTTGAAGGAAAACAATCCAAAATATGTTTTTTTTTTCTAAACTATTACATTAATTTATATAATTTTTACCTTGGTTTAGCTTTTCTAAAAATATCGATAGGTCTTTTATATAATCTGGCAACTTTATAACATGTTATTCTTCACTTCTCATTAATAGGCTCCAGCTCTCCCTGTCCAGACTTTTTACATGCACACTTCTCTGTGTACACTTAAGTTCTAGACGAACAGAGCTATTTCTCTTTTTCTCACATTAGACCCTGCACTTTGATTCCTCCCTAATCTCAGCATATCTAAATCCTGTTTCTCTTCCAGAGCCTAGCTCTGTTGACTCTTCCTCCTTTCGCTCCAGAAGAAGAAATCTCTGTTTCTTCTATTCCTCTTACATTTTATCTGGACATCTTGGCAATGTATTAATTATTTGGGTTTCTATTTTATAATCCACATTAGAGAATATGCATCCTGAGTGTAAGATTTATATTTTATGTATCTCTTACAGAGCTGCTTCACGCACCGTCTTATACTTAATAGGTGGAGGAGGAAGGAAAGAATTTGGTGTATACTATCTTAATGTGAAAACAGACCGAATATATAATAGGCAAGGGAAATCACTATTACTAAAATTTAGTAGTGCACAATCTTCCAAATAAATTTTAGAATCATCTATGTGTGTAGGTAAATATACCAGTTTGAATAGGTGGATTTAACTCTATACTTTCTGTGTAATTGGAAAAAAACTGTAGTGCCTACTCCTTTGTATCACTGCAGTAATGAAGACTTTTCTTGCTACCAAATATAATCAGTGGGAAACCAAAGAAGAATATTTCTCTGAGAATATCTGACTGAAATTTCTTAAGTGATTCAAAGTAATTTTTATGTGGACTATGGTGATTTAAAATTCACTGAGGCTGCGTGCTGTGGCTCATGCCTGTAATCCCAGCACTTTGGGAGGCTGAGGCGAGAGGATCGATTGCCCAGGAGTTTGAGACCAGCCTGGGCAACATAGTGAGACCGTCTCTACAAAAATTAAAAAATTAGCCAGGCATAGTGGCAGATGCCTGTAGTCCCAGCTACTCTGGAGACTAAGAGGGGAGGATTGATTTAGCCCAGGAGGTCAAGGGTACGGTGAACTGTGATCACACCACTGC